CTGGGTGCCAGGCGCCAGTAAAGATGCCAGGGACCCATGACGAGCAAGGTGGCCACAGTTCCTGTTCTCATAAAGCTTAACATTGGTTCCAGTGGGAAAAATAGATGATAACAATAAATAACAGATCCCAGGATGATATCTGAGGGTGGTCAGAGCTAGGACAGAAGGGGATATTAGGAATAAAGGAGTTGGCCCTGAGCCAGGCATGGAAGTTAGTCCGTAAGCTCAGTGCCCTCAGCCATGGCATTGGTGTCCTTCAGTGCCTTGTTCTAGAAGTGCCTGATTTGTAGGTCTGTGGGATCCGTTGATGGCGTGGTGGCAGTGGGTCCTGGGGGACGAGGGCCCTGACTGCCGTTAACCTCAGAGGGGACCGGGAGAGGGCTGGAGTTGTGGAAGGGACCAGAGATGGGAGGGGCTGGAGCCGCACCTTCAGCCCCAGGGCGGGGCGCCTGGCCCATCTGTCGTTTGGGAGCCTGGGCGGCCTCCTGCCTGCCCCGCAGCTGCCTGTTGTACTTTCCCAGCAGATGCGGGGAAACGTTTTTCATTAATTAACTGCTAATGCTTCACAGGTGGCAGAGGTGCCCCTGGAACTTAGCACTGCATGCTATTCAGAGGCTGCAGGGGTCTGCTAATGTGTTGAATCTGGGAATCCTCCCTGATGTGGGAAGGAGGTTCCCGGGCAACTCCAGGGATGCTGAGCGAATTCAAGGGCTGGGGATAGAGGGTGGTGGCGGTGCCCCCAGCCTCCCTTCTCTCTGTGTGACGCACACGTACAGGTGCACGCACGCCCTCCCATATAGGCACACGCATGCACATATGCACACACCCTCTCTGCTAGACACGCGCCTGCCCACTTTCACTCCCACCCTCCAGTGTGAGTGGGCCACACGGTACCCAGGAGGGCCCGCCCCCCCTCTGCTCACTCGGACCCCCATGCACACCGTCGGTGACCCATTCATCCCCTTGGGTGGCTTGTAAGTGATTCCTTCACTGGACGGAGCATCTCTTCTGAAATTGCTGGCCTTGGGTTGTGAGTGAGGCCCTCGGGAGCCCTCACCCTGCCTGGCCCTGGGCCTGTACCACGTGGGGCCAGGCGGGGAGAGAGGGTGCTGGAGGTGCAGGCTTCAGACCTCTGGAACCTGTCCCCGCCTTTGCTCCCCCAGTGAGAGCAGGCCCCTGGGGAGTCGCTCAGACTAAGGTGTCTTCCTGGTCACGCACATTGGATATTTGGTAAATGAACAAATCAGGTTGTTTGAGCTGAAGAGACCCAGTCGCTCCTGCTTAATTTTGAATCAGGTTCAAGCCCCTGCGTGCCTCCCCAGCTGCATCCATGGCCCTCATACCCTGCATTCTTCCTCCAAGTCCTCGACCTCGCTCTTCCTCTGCCTGGGACCCTCTTCCCTGCCCCCGCTCCCATCTACACTGCTGGCTCCCTTTCACCCAGGCTTCTGCTCCAGTAACCCCGCTCAGAGCAGCCTTTCATAACCCTCCGTTGCCAGTCAGCCCCCGCGTCTCCCCCAGCTCCCTGAGCAGATGCTGGGTTCTGTCCATCCGTCCTCATGTCTGGAAGGATCTCCTTCACCACATGGGTTCCTACCTTATGTGTTCTGGGCACCAGGGATTCAGCTGCAAACCAACCATCAAAGGCAGACCCTGCTGTCAAATTAGGGAGGTGACTGAGCAAAAGGCAAACAAATAACTGTGCATCTGCGTGTGGGTCTGTGTGGGTGCATGTCTGTGTGTGCGCACGCAGACACACACACGCACACCGGGTGATGAATGTGATGGGGAAAGGTAAGGAGAGGAAGGCAGCAGGGAACTAAGTATGGGGCGAGCAGGCTTGATTTCTTAATATCCCCCTCCCGTTGTCCATCTCCCGCTGGCCACTAGAAGCCCCACAGAGGCAGGGATTCTTTCTGCTCACCTCTGCACATCCTCCTCCTGGTGCAATTCCGGCGCATGGCTGGTGTCAGTAAGCTTTTGTTGAATAGATGAATGAATGAGTGAATGGATGAGTGAATGAATTCTCAAGGGGAGAGTGGTGTGCAGTCTGTTCAGTGGTCAGCATGCCCTGCCTGTGCCCCAGGCTGTGCGGTGAGGACCCAAGTGTGTCAGAAGTGAGGTGGGAACCACAGTACCTGCTCCAGCCACTGTGGGGAGGGAGCAGGGAGGCAATGTATTAAAATAGTGATGGTGGGGGCTTCCCTGGTGGCACAGTGGTTGAGAGTCCGTCTGCCGATGCAGGGGACACGGGTTCGTGCCCCGGTCCGGGAGGACCCCACGTGCCGCGGAGCGGCTGGGCCCGTGAGCCATGGCCGCTGAGCCTGCGCATCCGGAGCCTGTGCTCCGCAACGGGAGAGGCCACAACAGTGAGAGGCCCACGTACCGCAAAAAATAAATGAATAAATAAATAAATACAATAGTGATGGTGGAGGGAGGGGGGAAGGGGTGTTGAGGAGGGAGCCACAATGTCCCTTCTGCCCACCTCCCATCGGTTCAAGCAAGCCACGTGGTGAGCCCCCAGGTAAGGACTTGGGAAGTCCCCTGTGCCCCCTATTCCCCCAGCAAGGCCGGGGCACAGGTGAAAATGCAGGGAGGGAGGAGGACAGCGGTGTCAACACTTCAGCCCCAGGTAGTGACGGAGCCAGGGTGTGAGCCCAGATCCCTGCTTCTGGCACCTGCGTCGTAACGCTTACGACATTCTGTTTCCATAACATGCCATAGATGCTAAGGCACAGTAATGCTGCTGATGAAATGGAACAGGGGGCTAGTGGGCAGGGGTGAGGTGGGTGGGGCTTGGGAGCAGACTTCGGAGACCTTTACAGCCTTGGCAATTTTGTCCTAACTGAGAAGGGAGGCCACAGGGAGTAAGCAGGAAAGCGATACGACCAGACTTACATTTGTAGGGGTTCACGGGGACACCAGTTAGAAGGCTTGTGTGAGCATCTGGGGTAGAGATGCTGGTGGCCTGGACTAAAGTCACAGTGATACAGGTGGCAGATGGAGTGAGGTTTGGGGTCTGATTTGTAGTTTATTCTATGTGCTGCTCCTTTTTGCTTTGGCTGCCAGGAAGCTCAGAGCCACACGTGGTGTCTCTAACCCCTGATGCGGTGGCTCTGTCCAGACTTCCCTTCCTCTGGATTTCCTCGGACACTCATTTGCCTTGTTGGGCATGTGTTTCTGATAATGGCTGCCCATCCTTTGTGGAGTGAGATGAGATATAAATAAAGCGATGACAATTCTTCCTCATCTACGTGCGTATCTCTGGGAATCTTCGTCTTTATCTTCAAACCAGCCTGGAAGCTTGGGGAGACCAGGCCATTTCTTTCTCCTTTGTGCCAAAAATGCCTCCAGGAGAGTCAGCTTTTCTGGGGCCACATGGCACCGGCAGTTCCACTCCCATCTGGCATCCGTGGGTGGAGGAAGGAAAGGAGAGGATAATAACATGCAGTAAACTGACTCTTGAGGAGAGAAGGACCATCTGCATCCTGCACGCCTGGAGTGCGGCGCTGGGGGTCGCGACCGGTCCTTAGACTGCCCTGGCTCACTTACTACCCCACCCGAACTTCCTGGGCCCCTACTAGGTGCCGGGCACTGGGGTAATAGCTGAACCCAAGGTGGAAAATGTCATTGGCTTTGGAGCCTGGCTGGTTTGCTAAGTCTGCAGGGAGGAGTCCTCCAACGAGACCCCTGGGCTGTCTGTCCGCACGAAGTTTCTCTGTGGACCCCCTGTGGACCCAGCCTCTGGTGTACACTTAACACTCAATTAAATAACAGCTGTAGACAGGGGCTTCCCTGGCGGTCCAGTGGTTAAGACTGTACACTTCCACTGCAGGGGTCGTGGGTTCGATCCCTGGTTGGGGAACTAAGATCCTGCATACTGCATGGAAAAAAAACAGCTGGAGAGAGTGGTTGGCTTGGTTTGGACGGTCTTGGTTTATGCCTCCTGTTGTGTTCCATCCATGTGTGTCCTGCTTTGGGTGATAAAGTTATATCGTCACCCTAGAAGCAGCTTAGAGATACGAGAGGGGCCTCTGGAGTCAGGCCGCCCGAGGCCATCATCCCCTCGCTCTGACAGCTAACAGAATGGCTTGTGGCTCCGAGCCTCAGTGCACCCATTTGTCAAATGGATATAATAACAGTCTCCACCTCATAGATTTACTATGGGGGTAAAATATGTTAGCACTCGGCCCAGAACAAGTAATGACTAACTTTTGCTCCATAGTAATTATTGTATTACTTACACAATATAAATTATTATGAAAATGTCTACTGAGAGCCACCCGTGCTGGCACGGCATGTTAATCAGAATGGGTAGACAGTTTCAAAGCACAGATAATATTACTTCACGTGGATTGTAACATGCTATCAATAAACTGTGTATTATGTGTGTCTACACAGACCCACACGTGTGGTCACACAGAATGTGGTCACACAGAATTTTCCTCTCAACCCTAGGCATCAGGGATGACGATTAGCTTTATTTTCCAGATGTGGAAACTGAGGCTCAGAGGGGTTGAGTGACTTGGGCTGCTGACGGGCACAGCCCTCTGGAAGTCAAACCTCAGGGGTTGCTCTGGAGGCTGCCGGCTGGGGCTGCCCGTCCCTGGGACGCCCGTCCCATGGGGCGTTGGGCTGGGTCTTTTGATGACTGGCCCATCCCAGGTCCTGGCCCCTCTGACTGCTGGTGGCCTCCCCTGGCCTGGTCCTCGCTCTCTCCAGCCCTGCTGTTCCTGCATCTTTGGGTGTCTCTAGGGCTTCTTGGTTCTGGATAAACTCTGCCCCTTCTCACAGGCAGCAGGAGGTGAATTAACCCAACTGAACGTGGGCTGGTACATGATGGAACAAGCCCCGTCTCCATCGCCTGGCCCACCCTCTTGAGCCCCAGGCTTTGGAGGATCACTGGTGGCCCCAGGGAGGAAGGGAGTCACCTCGGGCCCCCCAGGCTGTCGTGTGGGCTTGGTCATCACTGACCGCCTCGCTGGGTTCTCGCCTTCCAGATGAGATGGACCAAACCCCCGCAGTGCGCTCTGAATATCTGCTCTCAGGGATTCGAACTCCCCCCGTGAGGAGGAACAGCAAACTGGCCACCCTGGGCAGAATCTTCAAACCCTGGAAATGGAGGAAAAAGAAAAATGAAAAATTGAAGCAGACAACATCCGGTGAGCACCAGGGAGAGGGGGCCTGGCGTCACCGTCACCGCGCTTTCTGTTGCTGGTGTTGGGAGGGGCAGGCTGTGCTCTGTGGCCTCTGACGGCCAGGAGCTGTTCAACCTCCTGCGGGTCCCCTCTCTCCACCGGCCCTTCCAGGTCCCTGGTGGGGGCGGGGGCGGGGAAGCAGCTCCAGGTCCCACCCGAAGCCCACTCACGCCCAGACCCTAAGGGGCACACACGTCACCCTCGACCTAGTTAAAAATGCAGACTCAAGGTCAGTGTAAGGCCAGGCTGGAGCTGAGGCCTGGCTTGTAACCATCTCTCCTTCCTGACCACACTGGAGTGGGGAGCACCCAGCCCTCCTGCACCTGGACCCTCACTTTGACAACCCTGGGGCCTGGGTCCCACTGTCCCCAAGAGCCCCCTGGGGGATTCACTCAGAGGGTCGGGGCCTCAGTTTGGCCTCGATACTGATGCTCGCCGGCTCCTAAGCTCCTCCTGAAGAGGCAGCTCCTACCTGGGCAGCCCCGTCCGGATGCTCTCCTCCCACTAAAGGACCCCAGAGCTCCCCTCACTCACCTTCAGCTCTGTGGGAAGCTGGGTTACGAGAGGCTGGACCGCTGCCCCCGCCCCCTCGACCTCCAAGCCAGGAGCTCTGGCCATGAGACTGACCCAGGGGATGCACGTGGTGACGACAACACAACTGGCCATAAGAGTCAAAGCGACACAGCACGTTTCTAACAACGAAATGCTCAGAAGCCCCCGTATCACAGCGCTCCTGCCCACGTCAGGAACGGGAAGCGGGATCAGATGGGCAGCCGCTCCCAGGGCCAGACAGCAGCAGGTTGTGGGCTTGGGGCCTGGCAGCCGGGCTCGGGTCTGGCTCCTGGGCGATGGGGTGCCCTCGGTGAGGCGGAGGTCGGTGCCCTGAGAAGCAGACCCCAGGGGAGACAGCATCTCGGCTCCCACGGGCCTGTTAGCTGCTGCTGGACACAGTCAGCGAGGGAGCTGCTCGTGTGGACTTAGTCCTGGGCCTCGGGGACCCGCCTGCTAAGTGCCCGTCTTGGGCTGTTGCCTCTGGCGGTCCCTGTGGTCCCAGGCTTGAAGTGGTGCAGACTCCCGGGCTCAGGGGGTGGCAGAGGCAAAGCCAGTGGGGCGGGGGGCAGGGGGGACTCCTAACAGCAGCAGGGGGTACTTCCACCCACACTTTTTATGCAATTTACAAACTTATTTTTTTAACTACCCAAGAAGTTGATGGACAGATTCTCCTTGTCAAGGATGAAAGCAGAACAAACGTCGATATTCGATGAACCTTGTGTGGCTCCTGTGTGCCAGGCACAAAGTAGACAGGGAGACCCAGACCCTGTCCGCTTAGAGCTTTCCGCCAACTGGGGGGTCAGGCGACAGACAAGCACGTGTGACAGTCACGACCTTGGCGGGGCCGAGGAGGAAGTGGGGGGTGGGCGTTGCCCTGGGCTGAGTGGCCTGAGAAGGTCCAGGTGAGGAGGTGACACTGAGCTGAGACGTAATTGGTCCCCTGGAGGGAAGCAGGGAAGAGCATCGCAGCTGGGGGAACAGCTGTGCAAACGCACCGGGTTGGGGAAGCCTCACCCGGGCATCAGTGAAAGGCTTAGGGGGCCAGAGCAGGGTGACCTCTGTGACCTTGGGGAGCCCCTGATGCTCTCTGGGCCGTGGGGTTGGAGGGTGAGCTGCGTGCTCTCGGGACCCTGTGTCCCTGGCCCACTTGGCACTGGGCTGCGGGGAGCAACCTGTGAGATTTTCAGGATGCTGTGCGGACCCTGCCGGGGGACTGAGGGTCTCCAGGTTAAGACCTGCAGCATCCCCGCCTTCGGGCAGGCATCCCCGTTGGGCCCTTTATCAGGCATTTGGAATTCTGCAGATAGCGCTGCATTTCGTTTATTTATGCTAAACCGTTCTTTCCCCCCAGAGTGTGGGATGTTATTTGTGTCAGCCTATCCAATCCCCGTTTGCACAGGCGTCCTTGGTTAGGATGAGATGAAGTGAAAATAAAGATGATTTAGAGAGAGGAAAAAACACAAAACAATGCAGACAGTGGTTTGGGCAGAGTGGGGACCGGGTGACACCATGAAGGTGGCTCTCGGAAGCCTGAAGTCTGGGAAGTGGCATCTGAGCCCGTACCTGCTCTGGGAGGGGGGGCGGGTGGCTTGGGCCGTGGGGACAGGTGTCCTGAGTTGCAGACAGCAGCCCCTGGCGACTGCCTCTTCAGGTCATTGGGAGGACTCACAAGTCAGTGCATCTGAGCAGGGTGCCACCAAGGCTGCCACCAGCACTGGTCACACAGCACGGTCTCTCCGTCCTGGAGACCTTCACCCTCGTCCTGCTCGCCTCTTGTTTTTGGACTGGGCGGCAGCCTCTTTGCTTGCACCTCCCAAAGCCAGAGCTCTGTTTCTCAGTTTTATCCACACTGCTGGCATCTGGAAATTGGATTGGAAATTGGACTCAGAAAGGAAATTATGTTCCCTTTGCCCCCAGTTGTCTTTTTCCCGGTATGTTTGGGTTTTCTGTATTCATCCCTCAGCGTAAACACCCTCAGGGAAGCAGCCGCGCTTCCCCAGACGCCCTGCCCCCATGCCCTCTGGTTCTGGTTGATGCCACTCGCCCAGATGTTTGCCATCTGTCCCAAAGCTCTGGCTGTCCGGCAGAGTCCATGCCTGTCTTGCTCCCCCGTGCCTGGCACACAGTAGGTGCTCAGTAAATATTTTTTAATAAATAACTTCATGGTCATTGCCTGTTTGTCACTGGCCACTAGACTTTAAGCTCTGCTACTCGAGCAGCTGTTTTGTTCCCACGTGGGGCAGGGCATTCATACGTGTGGGTGACCCGGGGCCCTTTGGGATCCAGGCTTATAGCCGGTACTTTGTCCGTATCTTTTAAAGAGAGGGTCTGAGGGGTGACATGGCTTTGTGTTTGGAAACTGGATTCTACTGCGGGCAAATCGTTTTCTGGACAGTTGGGGAGAAGAAGGAGAGCAGAGTAAGACCTACGCCTGGGAGGGGAGAGGCAGGGGCAGGGGGCCAGTCGCTGGAGGGTTTGCCCTGGGATGAGGGGGCTGGAAGGGCTGTTCCAAAGGAGGAATTGACGAGGTTCCTTCCGCACGTTGGGCTCGGTGGAGGGGGATCGGGGCCCGGCCGCCTCCTTCCTGTTCGATTGGCACATTCTTTTTTTTTTTTTTTTTTTAAAGCTACTATTTCTTTCTTTCTTTTTATTTTAAAGGAACATTATTTATTTATTGGCTGCACTGGGTCTTCATTGTCTGCACATGGGCTTTCTTTAGTAGCAGCGAGCGGGGGCTACTCTTCATTGCGGTACGCAGTCTTTTCATTGTGGCAGCTTCTCTTGCTGTGGAGCACGGGCTCTAGGCGTCGGGCTTCAGTAGTTGTGGCACGTGGGCTTCAGTGGTTGTGGCTCGCGGGCTCTAGAGCACAGGCTCAGTAGTTGTGGCGCACGGGCTTAGTTGCTCCGCGGCATGTGGGATCTTCCCGGACCAGGGATCGAACCCGTGTCCCCTGCCTTGGCAGGCTGATTCTTAAGGGAAGTCCCTACTGGCACATTCTTTGAAAGCATGAACCTGGGGCTCATCGGAGGAGCCTCTGGTGGGACAGAAGACTGGTCTGTGAACAGACAAAAGGGTGGTCGGGATGTATTTAGCAGGTGAAAATAGAACCGCAGAAAAGCACCCCAGGGTATTTGGGGGACAAGGTCTTGGGCTGGAAAATGAAGGCGTAGTCGGCGGAGGGTGGGGATGGGAGCCTAGAGAGGGTGGTACACGGGGCATCGCTTCTCAGATGAGCCACGGAAGCCACTGCCTTAAACAGTGCTCATGGTACCTCCCTTCTGCCCTGCTCAGCACATTGCTTAGGGGGGAGCTCGAGTTCCTGAACCACAGCCCCACCTGGGGGCCCCTAACCCACGGTCACCTGCTGCCTCTCTGCTGTCTTCCTACGCTGGAGGTGGCGCTGGCCGGGCTAGGGCGGGGCCCCGCGACGCTCTGCCCGTGACTCACCTGGATGTCTGTGTTGTGTGTGCAGCCTTGGAGAAGAAGATGGCCAGCAGGCAAGGTCGGGAGGACCTCATCAAGAAGGGGCTCCTGGAGATGATGGAGCAGGGTAAGTGGGCCACCCCGGGCCGGGCAGGGCTGCGGGTCTCACGGGGGTCCAGCAAGCCCATCAGGGTGGCGTGGAAGTCGGAGGAGTCCGGTGTCCAGCTGTGGCTCCTGGACCTGAATGAGGCCTCCGTGGGTCCAGTGAGGACCCACGGCTCAGCCCCCGGGCCTCGGAGGACCCATCGGTGAGTCTAAGAGTCGGCTGCTCATGGGGCGTGGAGCTGAGTGCAGCCACCTGCCCTGGGGATGAGGGGTTGCTTCCCGCCCAAGCTGGGTGTGGGTGAAGCTAGTGGCTAGTCCTGATTGTTTGTTTTTTTCATATTCAGAGTTTAATCCTGGATTCGGGTGAGTTATTTGTTCCCCATGACCACCTAGTGTTACAGCTACCGTTTATTAAGGATCGATTATATGCTGGGTGCTCTGCTGGGCGTTCTACCCGCCTTCAACCTTTTGTCCTCACAGCATCCTTGTGACTGGGTGTGGTGTTATCACCCGGTCTCCAGGTGAGCAATGGGAGGGCCTGGGAGGTAGCTGCCCTGCGTCATGCAGCCGGAGGGCCCGGATGCTGTTCAGACTCTGGTCCGAAACCTTCATCACCGTGGTGTCTGCGAAGCCGCCCTTGTTTGCATCTTTCAGAAGCACCAGGTTTTATCACTCGCACAATTAATTTAAGGATTCTTGGGTTCGCCCATCTTCCTCCCTTGGTGATGGCGTGAGGCACAGGACTTGGGTCCTGACGCTAAACTTTCATGCTTTCCAGTTCTCTGAGACCCTAAAGCTTGGCAGGGGTGGTGGGGTCTCAGACAACCTCACTGCTGCCTGCAGGTCTCTCTGGAGCCGGACCAAGCTCTTGCCTCCTGATTGAAAGAACCTGGCCTCACAGAGCCAATTCTGTGAGGCTCACGTGAATAAATGGCATTCCTGTCTCCCTTTTAGCCTTAAAATATTATTGGTGTCTTTGTAATTTGGCCCAGGTATCAGGAAGTAGAAAGGGAGCCCATGGAGTCCGTGAATCCGGATTTATAACGTGCTCCGCGTCTGGTAGGGCCCTTGTGGTCATTCCTCTTCTTTAGATGCAAAGGGAAAAGTACTTTGGTGATGATGCTGTTTTCATGGGAGGCATACGTGGGAAATTGCTTAGTGCTAATAATCAAACTTTGTCTGTAAAAAAAACTTGGTATCAAGTCCTGTGACGTTCAGACGTTAGACGCTCCAGTCTGACTCAGATTTGGGAAAATGTCTTTGCTGAGATGGAGATCTGGACTGTTTGAATTTGGATGGAACCAAAAAGCTCCAAACTCTGGCATTTTGAATATGTTGCCAACAAAACTTACCTTAACTCTTGGGGCGGGAGGAGGGAAAATGAAAACAATATGAAGGTCTGTTTATCATCTATTTTTAAAAATATTATCACTGATGAAGAAAAACATGGATTTGATTCCCATCAAAGATAAAGTGATAGGTGAATCATTAAAGGGAAAACCTTCCAGGAGAAGTGCGGTGTTTCCTTTCCTAAACTCTGAATCTTTGTAAAACGATTTTGTCTGGGGGCCTCAGTAGAGAGAGCCAGCCGCCGAGTTGATGGGGTGAGCCCGTGGCTGACGTGCTCAGAGGCCGGCTTTCCTGGCTTCTGTGTTTGGCGGGGAGATCTCACGCCGGCCCAGCTGCAGTACCGCTTTAGATTGGGGTCAGCAAGCCTTTTCTGGAGAGAGTCAGACAGTAGATATTTTAGGCTGTGAGGTCCATACTTACCCCTGCTGTTATGAGGCAAAAGCAGCCCCAGACACTACACAAAGTTGTGGGTTTGGCTGGGTGCTGGTAACACTTTATTTAGGGACATTGAAATTTGAATTTCATATAACTTCCATGTGCCATCAAGTATTATTTTTCTTTTTCAGCCATTCAAAGAGGTAAAATCCCTTCGTAGCTCGGGGCTCTGTGGAACAGACGGTGGGCTAGATGTGGCCCCCAGGGTGTAGTTTGCCAACCCTGACTTTAGATCACTCTTTCTCTCTGGCTAAGTGATTGTGGACCAGGAAAGGGAGGGGCCTGAAACACAGTCTCTTTGCTCAAGAATTGACAATGAGCTCGTTAACTGACGCCACACCATTTTACTGAGCACCTGCTATGGGCCAGGGTCTGTGTTAGCTGCTGAGAATACAGGTGAGCAAAATACCTTTCTCCCAGAGCTCACAGTCCCGTGGGGAACAAACACTAGATAATCCCACAAATCAATACAAAATCACAGCTGAGCTGAGTATGGGGAAGGAAAGCACGTAGCACCTGAAGAACGTGAGTTGGGCCCCTGACCTGGTCCGGGGCTGGGGGAGGTGATGGTGGAGTGGGTCTAATAGCAGGAGTCAACAGGCTGCTTCTCAGAACTTGCTGCAATTAGGGTCACCTGGCGAGCTCTTCAGTCAGAGGCGCTGGGGGGGTGGGACCTAGGCGTCGGGAGTTTATAAGCCTCCCCAGCTGCTTCCAACGTTGGTGCCACCAAGGATGAGAAGCAGAGAGCGATGGGAGACTGGGGAGCGTCTTCCAGCCAGTGGAGCAGCCCGCGCAGGACCCCGTGGGGGAAGGGAGCAGGCACCCCGAGGAGGAGGAAAGAGAAGGTGGGTGCGGGCTAGGGGAGGTGAGAAACGGGGGGTGGGGGGTCTCCTGACAGGGCCTTGCGTCCTCCTGCCTCTCCCTGCAGCATGGACGGAATGGAGAGAATTCGACTCCCCAGCAGGCGGCTGGGTGACAGGCACCCCTGTGGCCGTGGCGCCCCGGGCAGCCACGAGACAGGTGGGCTGAGTCTGCAGTGAGCCTGCGGGGCTCCCGCTGGGGGGTGCGTGTTAGAAGCAGGGAGCAGGCGTTGCCCCTGGGAAGGGACCGGGTCTGAGGGAGGGGGTAGGGGTGTGGGCTCACCACCCACTCATCTCCCTTAAACTCTTAACTGTATTACCTCTAATGGACGCACAGGGGTGAGGGGAGATGTGAGAGTGTTTGCCAACAGGCTCCTGGGGTGCATACCTCTTGGAGCGATTGTTTCCGTCCTGCACTTGCTGAGAAAATGCCTTTTCTCACTGGGGTGAAGTCGAGCTCTAGGTCAGCCTCTGTCGGTCCCGAATTTGTCCTGGAGGTGGGACAGCAGGGCTCCTGCTGGGTTGTTCCGTGGCCCCGGGAGTTGAACCGCCCGCTCCCCCTTCAGAGATGGCCCCCGGCTTGGATTCAAGAATCTTCCGCATCGCCACCACCGGCGCCCAGCTCGGCCGGCCGGCTTTGTAGCCAGGAGCGCCCCCCTGTGGTTGGCTGCCCCCTACCCCGCACTGAGCCTGGACTTCACACCCAGGGGGCGCCTGGGGGGCTGAGCGAGCCTCCGACACTGACCGAGGGGCCCAGAGAGGCCCCCCACAGGCTGGGGCCACAGACCCTCCCAGAGCTGCCTGCAGTTCTTAGCAGCGTCAGGAACTCACACTTGAAGGTCCTAGGCCAGGCCAAACCCAGGAAGGTCCTCTGCCCTGCACAGGTGTGCACACGCGTGCACATGGACACGCCCCTGGGTCAGCCCCCTGGAGTCTGCCCACAAAGCGTTCAGGAGCCGGCTGCGTGAGCCGGCTGCGGCCGGGCCTGCAGAGCCCGCACGTCCCGGAGGTGAGCCCGTGTCCAGGGCATGGGTTTGCCCTCCCCGCTCTCCGGGGGGTTGTTATCTTGCGATACTGTGAACACGTGCTTGTTATGAACCCCTCTGACTATCCTTGGTTCCTGCAGGTCTGGGAATCTGCCGGATCGAGGAAGGACCCTACTAGTATGGTTAGGAGTTGTGTGAGATGTGGCCAGGTCTGCATGAGGGACCGGGAGCTGACCTTTTCCTCTCACTCCGTCTTCACAGCTTTGACCAGCGACACATCTGTGACAGGCGAGGGCAGGCTGGTGTCCCAGCCCCTGCACCAGGTCCCTGGCCCACATACGATGAGTGAGGACAGGAGCTGGCCCATTTCTCTGTCCAGACGCCGTGTGTGCCCTGAGCGACTTTACTCCATCCTCCTCAATGTGTCTGCTTGGCTTTGTCTTAATAGTTGAAGGACTTTCATTCTCTATCACTGGATATAAGGAGGAGGTGGCTGTTACCGCGGTGCTGTGTTCCGTGACCTGAAAGACACGAGGTCCCTGTCCTCGGGGCAGTTGGCAGTGGCGAGTCAAGTCTGTCTGGCTTCTGTGTGGCAGGAGCGCCAGGGGCTGTGTGTGTGTGTGTGTGCGCGCGCGTGCATGTGTGTGCATGCAGGCGTGTGCTTGCGGGGTGCGTGTTTGCTTGGGGCATGTCCCCTCTCAGCGTGGCTGCTCTGCGTATAACCCAGCCTCCGGCTCCGGCTCCCCTCTGCCGCCCTCGGAAGCGCCTGGCCGGGAGGGAGCGCCCACAGTATAGTGAGAGGAGCAGGGGACCAGCTGCCCACAGCTCCCCCCGCCCTGTCTGCCAGCATTGCTTAGCAACGACCCTGCCGCCCAGGCTATTTTGAGAACTGTGACTTTTCACTGAACATGATTATGAGCCGGAGCTCTGAGACAGCCCAGAAAAGTCCTGCAAGTCCGCTAAGACGTAAAAGTAGGTGGAGGAATCCCGGGGCTGTGCGTCCGGGTGCAGCCTTTGCTGAGCCCGGGTGGAGGGTGGGGACCTTTGGGTCTCGCAGTTTCAGTGTTCTGACCATTTCATTGATGATGACGGAGATGCCGTTATTATTAACAACGGGGATCGTCACCAGCAGCAAATGACCCGCCGCTTCTGAGATTCGGTGTCACCATCTGTAAAGGGTGGGTGGTAGCCACACCTAACGGGGCGGGGAGCTGTGACATTCAGGTGAGATGGTGCCAGCAGAGTGCCGTGCTGTGTCTCTAGCTGTGCACAGCCTCAGTCAGTGCTGGCTGTCGCCTCTGTCACCAGCGGCCACGTAAGCTGGTAGCAGAGACTGTCGCAGCTGTGTTTCAAGTGTGAGTAAACCAGTCGTGAGAGAGGGTCCAAGAAGCTGTAGTTCGGAGCTTGGTGACATCTCACTGTGTCCACTGGGTGACTTCTCTTGGCTTGTGTCTTGGTCTTCTCCTGGGTGGAGGTTGCTTGGCTGCTGGTCAGATCTGGCCCAAGGTCTGTTTTCTTAAAGCCCCCTTGAGCTAAGAATGGTTTTAAACTTGAAGGGCTTTTGTAAAAAAAATAAACAACAAAGATGAATATGGAGCATGGATTTGTGGCATGTGGCCCAGAAAGTCTAAAATACAAATACTGGCCATCTGCTTCTTTCTAGGGAAGGGTAGCCGGTCCCTGGTCTAGACCCACCCCCCAGGCCAGGTGACATGGCTGCATAGATGGCATCTTCCGAGACCCGAGTCTCTAGACTCTTGCCGTTCTGCCCTCCCCGCTAGGGGGCGTGCAGCAGACGGTAGATGATGAACAGTGATTACAAGTGCACGTTCCCTGCAGGGTCACGTCACAGGCCTGGCCTGAGTCCTGGGCGTGGGGAGGGCCCTGTTGATACCACGTGGGCCGAGGGGCCCAGGCCGAGTGGCCAGACCATCACCCTTGTCATCGTCCTCCTTCTCCCCTTTGTGAGCAGCAGTGAGGGTAATTACAAGCACATGCATGGTGTTTGCTTCATGCCAGATGCGTTATGGACGTTCACTCGCTGAATTCTCACTCTGACCCTGTGAGGCCAGGAGTATTAGCCCCATTTTATAGAAGAGGAAATTGAGGCCTGGAGACATTTGCTGTCTGGGCACAAGAAACCCCATGTGCCGTGGGGTGGGATGGGTAGAGAGGGTGACCTTATACCTTTTGTCCCACCTGGGCACTTTGAGGAGTGGAAGGGACACTGCTACCTGACAGCAGGGAGGAGCCAGGACTGACTTAAGCAACGGACCCCGGCTCTGAAATAAATCTCTCCTCTCCCCGCTGCCTCCAGGCAAGGCTGGTTCCCCCACGCTGCTGCCTCCCAGCCGTGTGGACCTGTGCAGCCTACACTGACACGCTGCACTGCGGCGGCCTGGATGACCTGGCCGTGGGGCCTAGGGTTGAGCCGGGGGCTTTGTGGGTGCTGCATGAACTGGGCTGTGAGCTGTGTCTCTGAAGGCTGAGTACGATCGGCTGGCTGAGCCTCCCTGCCTGGACCTGCCACTCTGGTTGTGTGATCTGGACCAGTTGTTATGCTCTTGAGCGCCCGGCCCCGCAGCACTAAGATATGACCCAAGGTGATCAACCAGTCAAAGGCCAGACCCTCAAAGGCTCCAGCCACTGAGCCCCAGCAAGGGGAGGGCCGGGTCCTCCTTTCAGCCCTACTAGGAGCCTGGTGTCCTCCGTTCTGAGATGGCCACCTGCCTAGACCAAGGACTCCCTGATTCCCGCCTCAGCCCTTGGCTGTGCCTCTGTTGGACTGGCAGTGCCACGTGTGGCCAGCTGTGTGGCTGCCCACAGTTTGAGCCACCTGGGGGGTAAGGATTGTCTTGTTAATCTCCACCTTTACACCATTGGCACAATGCTGGACCCAACAAACGAGAAGCATTTGTGTGATGGGGGACTAATGGTAGGATGGTGGGTGCTGAGGTGAAAGGTAATTTGTAGCCTCGATAGTAACAACCCAGCACCTCCGGGATGGGCAGTAGTTAGGGCTTGTCATCACCTGTCTGGGTGGCCTTGGTTGGCAGGATGGGGGCGCCTTGGCTCTGCTCCCCTCCCCCGCCATCTCTCATCCCCAGCAGGCTGGCTGGGCCTGTCCTCAGGGTGAGGTCCGGATACAGGAGAGATGCGCAGGAATGGGCAGGTACTTTTAAAGCCGCTGCTGCTTCAAACCTGCTCACTTCCCATTGGCCGAAGCCACAAGGCAGAGACCAAGGGTGGGGGGCACCACAAAGGCGAGGACATGGGTGGGGGGCATTGTCGAAGTAAGAGCGCGCAGGCTGGAAGTGGTGCGGCCAGAGGCCAGCGGGTGTTGTGACGCTCAGTGCTGCCTTAGGAAGGCTCTGGAAAGGGATCCCCAGGGTGTGCGAGAGCGTGCAGGGTACCACACCAGGCCTGGGATAGCGTACTTCCCAGGAAGTCACTTCGCGCGTGAGTGAAAGCAGGTAGGAAGGGAGTCAGGCTCAGCTGACAGCTGAATTCCTTGCAGACGCTGAGAGCAAAGCGTGCAGCCCCGACGGAGATCCCCGAGTCGTACAGAGTGAACCTTCCACTCCCAAGCAGGAGCCGCTGACCTCGGCGGAAGCCCAGCTGGGGAGCCCTTTGGCCACTGGGACGGACCAGGCTTCCCTGGATGAGACGCTGTCCTCGGACACCCCTTCAGACGATGCAGGTATTGATTGGACACCGGGCTTGAGCTGCTCCCAGGAGGCCATCCGCCTGGGTGGCGACTGAGGTCCCCAGCCCGAGCTGGGCAGCAGCCGTGGTAGAAGACCGTCCTCAGAGGCGCAGCCGTGCTCTGAGCCCTGCCACGCTCCACCACGTGGTTGAGTTTACATGTTTGCTGGAGCATGTCTCTCCCGCCTCTTCCCAAGTCTGGCAGAGCGGTGGATGAAGGTGCTTCCAGATGGTCACAGGTCCCTTACCATCCACCCTCCTCCCGGGGTGTCTTTGCTTGTTCCCTCTGAACTTCTGGGTGGGAAAATTCTCTCCAAAGAAGCCGATGCCTGGGAGCATCTTAGCTACCCCAAGGCAGTAGGGCAGGATGGGGAAAAGAATGGCCTGTATCGGGTTATCTGCAGGGTGGGAGGAGCTCAGGGCAGCCTCTGCCACGTTGAGTGATTCTCGGTGGGAGCCGTGGTGGTGGTTCTTGTGATTTAAGTTGAATGGACCAGGGCAGTTGTCAGGTATGGGGAAGGGGAGGAGAGAGGGAGTGAGGGAGGGATGGAGAGGAGGAAAAGCACAAACCCACCACAGAAACTGTGTGCTGTGAAGTCTCTACCCCCTGCTCGCTCTGACCTGTTAGCAGTGTTTTCATAGAAACCTTCCAGGCAACCTGGCCGTCAGGCAGGAGGCCTGCTCCCTCGTAGAACTGCAGCTGTAAACATTGCCAGGCCAGGCGTGGCGGCTGCGACGTGTCCTGCGTCCCACGGTGTTGGGCTGAGAAATTCGGGCGTGTGCACGGGCCTCTCTGGCCGGGGCCTCTCTGGCTGGCTCTTTGGTTTCAGAGCCGGGGGTTGAGGGGGGCACCTGTGCTCCGCTGCTGCTTCCCCAGACGCCACTCACACCTGCGCTTTCCCCTGCTGCCCCGGCATCCCTCTGGCCTTCGCGGGCACCTGCCGAGAACGGTGCCCTACTCTCCCTGGGGATGGCTGTCCCTCTCCAGTTTCACCCCAGCTTGGAGACACGATAGGAGTTTGGGGTCTGAAGGGCTGTGGCCCTTGGGACAGTACTGGCCTCTCCTGCAGAGACCCTTTTGTCACCACTGTGTCCCCCACCATCTGACTTCAGTCGGGCCAGCGGTTGGCGGGATTCTGATGGCCAGCTGAAGGATTGCCTTCCGCCGGAGTCCTAGCAGCCCAGCACTGCCCTTGACCGCGGAGCCTCCCTTCTGCGGGCCGCTGCACCCCACCTCCCACTGGCGCCCCTCCCTGGCAGACTTTCTGCTCCCGTCAGCGCCCCCTCTAACCTCAGGTGCTTTCTGTCCACGCTCTTGATTTGGGGATGGATTCTCGAGACCAGAGTTGGTTTGTTGAGATCACAAATCTGTATTAAGGACTTTTCTCCTGGTGAGACGTGCTGTTGGGTCTGGGGTTGTGATGATAATGTGTCTGGGTCTCTCCTCCCGGGTGGGTGTGAGCAGGTGAGCAAACCTGGTGACCCCTGGGCTGAGTCCATGCAGTGGGTGCTCTGGAGACTGGGGCGGCCCAGCTGGGGTAGAGGGATGAGTAGAAGTTGTCCGGCCAGAGAGTGAGGGAGAGAGCGTCCTGGCGGGAAGAGGGACCCTTGCAAGGACTGAGAACAGGGTCAGCTGCTTTCTCTGTAAAGGGCCGGCTGTAAATCTCATTGGCTTTGTGGCTAGGAAGGTCTCACCTCTGCCGGGTGAGGATGTGCAAAGGAAAAGGAATGGCTGGGTACCAGCAAGCTTTATTTGCAAACAACCCACGGGCTGGATTTTGGCTGCTGTGGGTGGCCTGGGAGTAGGAAAGACCATGGGACTTTAGCAGAGCTGTAGGTAGATGTGGTCAGAGCCGGGATAGGATGGAGAGACAGAGGGCTGGGCCGGACAGCCCTTCCCCGAGGGCAGCCCTTCCCCGAGGGCAACCCTTCCCCGAGGGCAACCCTTCCCCGAGGGCAGCCCTTCCCCGAGGGCGGTTGGTTGGAGCCACAGTGGGGTTTGCACTGTAGGAGAAGCCCTGGGCCTCTGGTCAGTGTGTAGTCTGTGGTGATGGGAGGCAGCTCCATCCCTCACCGGGGCTCTTCCTTTGCTCTGGCCCCAGAGAGGTCCTGAGCCCCTGGGGTGGGAGAGATGATGTTATCTGGTGGCACATGTACACAACTTGAAAACATTTTAGGAGTAATGTTCATTTTCATTAATTAGAGCAAGTGGTATGGGTTTCTCATTCAGGGTAGTGATAGTTTCTTAATAAATAAATTGAAATTAAAAGCATGGCTTCACTTAAAGTAAAGTATAGCAGACAAAAATATGGAAAAGTACAGGGCCATGTCCAATCTCCAAAGCAGGGCCGATTCACTCCTTTGGGCTGTGGTCAGTGTATTAGCAGCTACTGACCTTTATCATAATGCTGATGACAACAAGGGCCATCACGCTCGGCCGCTTGTGTGCAGGACGCTGTTCGAAGTGCTGTCATGTATATTGGCTCATGTGACCCCCAGGTGATTGATGGGGGTTCCGTGAGCCACCTGGAAACACCCCCAGGTGATTGATGCAGTTGCCCCCTTTTACTCATGATGGAAATGAGATACCCAGGTCAAGTAACTCATCCAAGGGTATAGAATTAGGGAATTGAGAGCAACGTCTTCGACATCAGGTTGACCTGGGTTTGAGATGTGACCGGGCGCCTCACCAAGCTGTGTGACCATGGACAAGTCACTCAACCTCTCTGAACCTGAGTCATCAACTATAAATGGAGATAATGTGGCACTTCTCAGGGTTGCTAAAATTAAACCACTTAGCTCAGTCGTCACTCACACTGAGCGCTCAGAAAGTGTTTGCCGCTGCTCCCAGGGATCGTCCTGTCTTTATCATCATCACTTTTGTCATTGTCATGGAAAAGCAGCCCTTGGAGGGAGGGTGATGCATTAAAGCCTGGCATTGGGTTGCCTGCAAACGCCCCACAGAGGCCCTGCATCTAAAAGCATGTGTGGGTGGGGATGTGGGTGCACCTGCACTTTGCTATTGATCGGGGGATCCCCCCCCACCCCCCACCGGAGTCTCTTGCAGCCCTGCAGGCCTGGAATCCTCCACCAAGAGCACTGACCAGGGCTGCGGCTCCTGGTCTCTACCGAGAGGACTGGCCTTGAGCAAAGCCCCTTCAGTGAGGGAGTGGATTGTAATCTAACTCAGACACCTTAAACTCATTTCTTCAAACATTGCCTAGGCTTAAAAATCGGGAGCATTCATGAAAAATCCACATGTGCAGCTAGCTGCTTTTCAACAATCAAAGTCCGCGCCCACTGGGCCCTTGTTCCCACGCAGCTGCAGTCTCTGGGAGCTGAGAAGAGATTATCTCCTTTGCGGGGGGGGGTTGCTCACCTCTCAGCTCCTGCTTGGGCCCTTGGGTGTATGAGTTTGTGATCCCTTCCATGAAGGTGAAGAGCCTGGTCTTGGGAATCAACCCCTGTGCTGCGCTGGGGGCGATGCCTCTCCTTGGCCAGGTGGTGACACCTGGATTGGGGCTGCTGCTTCTATGTGCCCCAAACCGTGGGGTAGGGCTGGGGGCATGGGGGTTATATCCAATGATTGCAGATATCTCAGGAAGGAAACACTGTCAAAGATTCTGACCGTGATTTTCTTTGATCCTCAGTTTGGGTTTAGTGATTTGGGTTGACTTTGGACTTTTGTGTTTGGGGTGATTCCTGGTTTTGTTTGGGTCATGCTGTGTCAGCCACAGAGCATCCCCTAAAAACCCAGGAGAACCCCTTGTTTCAATGTTAAGTGGGACAGGATCCCGTTCAGTGTTTCTGTCGTGCAGGGGCTGAGCTCTGGCGTGCCCAACAGTGTGCTAATTAAAAGGAAAAGTGGCACTCAGCATGTTCTGTGTGTGCTATATTATCTTAGCCCCATTTTTTGTTTTTGCTTTTAGATTAGAAAGCAGTGGCCCAGAGAGGTTAAGTCACTTGCCCGAGGCCACAGAGCGCATAAGTGGTAAAGCTGGGGGTTGATCCAGAGAACATGCCGGGTGTCACTGGGGTCCTGTGAAACTGACCATGGCAGCTCTCCCCCCAGCCCTCTAGGTCCCTTCTCTCAGGCTGGTCTCTCTCGGTCTCAGAATGTCTCCGGTGGGTGATAACTGGGTATGAAGCAAGCCCACCACCCAGCAGCACGCCCCAGGCAAAAGGGCCTTGGCTGGGAGCTCAGTTGGTGAGAAGCGACCTCTGCTGGTCAGGGCCGGACAGGGACAGCCCCGAGGGAGGGATTCCAAATGCGGGGAACATGCAAAGCTGATGTCGGCTTCTACATTAAAAAAAAAATTTTTTTTTGATATAACACTTGAGACTTTAACAGATGTTAACGTTTCAGTTTTGACAAGATTACCTAATACAGCGGTAGCTGCACCCTCACATGAGATGTGCAGGAAGGTGTAGTTTGGCCAAGGAGACGCTGAGACACCAGTTTCCTAGACCGAGGATCCCTCAGACAGGTCAGGGTGTGAGGGGGGTCAGTGTGGAGAGACATCGGAGGAGGGTGTTTGGGGTGAGTTCCTGGTGTGTTGGGTCCCGGGGCCCTCAGAACAGAGGGTGGGGGACCCACTGCATCTTGGGCTAGTGGCGGGGGCTGTTAGAATCTTACTCTGTGACCTCTCTGGTTGAAGGGCTGTGACCACTGACTCACTCGCAGAAATCCAGAGCTGCCCTGTCCACTAGCTGCGTGGCTATTTCAATGAATTAAAACCAAAGAAAATAAATCCATCTCCCCCGTTGCACCGGCCGCTTGTCAGCTGCTCACTGTAGCAGACAAGGAGGCGTTTCTGTCATCTGAGAAAGGTCTACTGGGTGGCACTGAGGGTGAGGGGTGGCCACACGTCCACTTGGGTGCACAGCCAGGGGAGTTTGCTGTTCGGGTCGCCAGCCCTTCCAGAGTTTTCTGCACCAACAGAGACCTTATAACCTACAAAGCCAAAGCCCTTTACAGAGAAAGCTTGCTGACCCTCATTTAGAGAATGGGTTTGGGGTGCCACGGGTGGAAGGGAAGGCGCTTGAAGGTCATTGCTGAGGTTCAGGCAGAGGCTGTGGCAGCTGACACTGGGAGGACAATATTTCCGAGAAATATTTTGGAAGTAGAGTGCCCAGGATGTATTCATGAATTAGATACGAGGGGTGGGCATGAGATGGAGAGGACAGGAGAGGGATTGAGCATTGTGTCCAGTCTGGCTGGACAGCTTGGGGGGTGGGGGGAGCGTGTACTGAGTCTGGTGAAGGTGGGGCTCTGTCTTGGTCAGTGCCATGTCCACAGCTCCTAGGGCCCCATAACTGTTCAAGGACACTTGTGGGATGGATGGATGGATGGATGGATGGATGGATGGATGGATGGATGGATGGATGAGTGAGAGAGAAGAGGGGCTGGGGAGGGGTTTCTCCTGGGAAATCAAGAGATGGGTTTGCGCGTGACTCATTTTGACTATTTGACCTCCAGATGGAGGTGTCAATGTGGCCGATCATGGATGAGTCTGGAGCTCTGAGAAAGGGTCAAGGGGGTTGACAGAGATGAGATGGATTTGAAGCCAGAGGACTGGAGGAGAGAATTAGGTGAGAGAGTGGGTTAATGGGGAAGAGGACCAAGGGCTGGGTCCTGGGGCAGCCCAGGGGGAGCCTGAGAGGGGCTGAGCAGCTGCAGCCAGAGCGGCAGGAGGGAACCAGGGGACGAGGTGTCTAGGACCGCAGGGGAGGGTGCAGGGATAGACATGGCAGGACTGTGCTGAGACAGAGCCGGGGGGACCTGCTCTGGCCAAGCGGGTGTGGGGACCCTGACCCAGGGCCGTCTCCTTGTTAACCCTTCTCTCGGCAGCCCTCCCAAGGGGACCCACGGAGCCCGGTTCAAACACGCCCACCCTGTCCACACTCCCAGGTCCGTGCGGGGAGACCAAGGCCCAGAGGGAGCAACTGGCTGGTCGGGGTTTCCATGATGGCAGCGCCCGGGAGAGTATGTCACAGGTGTGGGTCTCACCACAGGCCTCCCTCACCAAGAGACACCACAGAGCATCCCCTTAGAAGTCTAAGCAGTGTCTGCCTCAAGCAGGGGCTCTCAGCCACGGGCCTCCTCCCATCCGGGGGGCACGGGCCAGTGTCCGAAGATAGTTTTGGTCGCCACTCGGGCATCCGGCAGATAGAGCCCAGGGCTTGCTGCTGAACATTTTACAGGCAAAGAATTATCTGGCCTCAAATGTCAATACTGCCAAAGTTGAGAGCCCCTGACCTAGAATGAGAGGAAAACTCATCCATGTTCCAAAATAATGCTTCGATCCCTGGCAGTGTGGCCCACGACCGTCCAAAGTGCTGAATAGCTTCAGACATCCCCTCCACGACCTCATGGAAGTCTCCCTCCCTTGTAGTGGGCAGGAGAGGCTGTTTTATACAGATGTTTGTACAGATGAGGAAACAGAGGCTCAGAGAGGTGGAGACCAAGGTCGCTCCTCTGGAAATGAGTCAATCACAACAGAGGCAAAGGATGGATGGGGGAGACTGGTGTGGTGAGCTTGAGGTCAGGTGAGCCTTTCCTGTGCCACCTGTCTCCCCCGAAACCATGACATTGGGAACACGCTGGATGCCTAGAGGATAGAAACCAAGCCTGTACTGTACCGAGTACTCAAGCTCACTCGGGCCCCTCAGCCGGTGCTTCCGGCTGCAAGCTTGGCCACTGAGGGCCCGGGAGCATGGCCTCCCCAGGATCAGGGTCCACTGCCCTGCTCTGATGCACACAAGCCAGGAGGTCCAGTGCCCACATGGAGAAAAGGGACCTTTCCACACTCACCCATGGCTTAACCGAGGAGAAAACACAACTTTTTTTTACCTAGAAGCACAAAATATTTATTTTAATGTTATTTTTGCAAAACTTATTAACTAAAACAGTCAGAATTGTAGACTCTTAGAAGTTGCAGGTCACAGTTCATGGGACATAACAATAGTCTTGACGTCTAGGAGTCTTTAGAAAAACGCCTATGAACAAATATTACTTTTGAGGACAGTTTTATTATTATTATTGTCAATAATAATAATAAAATAAAACCATAGTGTTTTCACATGGGTATTTGTGCAGGGCATAAGGTAAGGAGCCTTCTGTAGTGGCTGTTCTCAGCTCAGACTAACCTCATGATACAAACCTGACTCTGTCTTCTGCAGTGGGTGGGAAGGGGACGTTTCTCTTCTCAGATCTTGCTTATCAGGATTTGGGAGGGCCACGGCCCTTCTAAGGCAAAGACTGCATTTCTGTGAGCTTCACAGGGAAAAGGCCTGGCCTGAGAGGTCTTCAGCTGCCCACAGGGATGCCAAAAGGACAGAAATGGTGATAAGCAATGGGATGCCTGGGACGTGCAGTGGTCCTTTCTAGAGGTTCACTGAAGCTTTGTGAGGGCAGTGATAAAGCCTGCCTCGGTCAGCACCACGGACAGTGCCCCCCCCCCCCCCCCCCCCCCCCCCCCCCCCCCCCCCCCC